AATTGCATATGTTCATCACTACAGGTATCCGAACTTATTCATTACATTCATATACCATCCAACTTGAGAAACAGATCTTACTTCCTAAGTAATTGCTGATGGATTTCATGAAATGTTTGGATCTGTGCGCTCTTAGATATACTCAATGAAATGGAAAAAGAGAGGATTGCCATATGCATATATACTAATCTGGTTCTATAACAAAATTACTTCAAACAAAATCGACGATGTAATAGGCGTTGAAATATCCAATGCCGATATTGATAAGGGTTTACATGAAGTTGTGAGGAAGAATATGATCTTGCAGTACACTGATTCTAAATTCATCCTGTGTACTAGGAAAATGCTCTAAGCAATATCCTTGAGCATTAATATCCAATATAGTTACAGGAAACGATGGATATCCTTATACAGAAGGTCTGTAGAAGATGGTGGTAAATTAGCAATCACACAAATGCGAAACGGTGACATCGAAGTAGTTCTATTCCCCTTTGCTATAAAAAACATATAAAGTGCATATAAACGTGGATTACTATAATTCTGTTAGATCGAGTAAATACATTTGTAAGCATGTGAATAAATGCAGTTTTTGATGTGCAACCAGAAAGAAGTAATAGAATGCGATCATGCATATCGATGAAATCGCATAGTATTAGGCTGGAAGACACATATAAGCATCAATGAAGCTGTATGGCTAACATGAATGAAGTCCAGCTGTTTTCATTTAGCAGTAATTTAGATAATGGACAGCTTGTCTATTTCAGCTAAGAATATGCAACAAATAGCCCTGAATCCATTGGCTACAATGTTAACTACTTTCTTCATGTTATATCAACATGATGCTTTTGCGAAAACACTGCTGTATTTGGAAGCGCTTACGTATTATATGAAGTACCTGGAATGCGAGTACAAAATTATTAGAACGACGCAAACGACGAAAGGGAGTCGACGGACAACCTGGAATATTCAAAGAAATTACGATAGTTAAACTGTACACCATGCATCCCATCAAGATAAATGCTTTTTTCTTCGCACGCTGTTGGTAAATGCGCCCGGTCCAATGTCTTTTCAGCAATTGAGAATTGTCAACGGCGTTACACATGCCACTTTCCGCAGTGTTATTGGAGAACGATCGACACTGGGATGTATGCATCAGTGATACGTTCTCCACATTGATGTCTTCGGAATTTCAATTATGGCAACGTTTTGTAACTTGTTTTGTAATTCTTAATGATTATGCGACGTTAACATTATTTCCTTCATCTAGTGCTTTAATTACCCATGTTTGGGGTGGGTAAATAAAGAAAGTCTTGCAACTCTTATACCTCGTTATGCAAAATATTTTCAAGAAAATATAAAAATTTCCGACTTTAATGTGTACTTGTGTAAGGTGTATTGAGAAATTTAAGGAGACATCCGATAACAACAGGGAAAGTGGTAAGGAAATTAGATGGTAAAAACGATTAAATGAAAATAACTCTGTTTGGGGAGTGGTCAAGAAGGGTCGGGTGGATTTCGCGGTTGGGATTAGTTAAATGTTTAATCTCAGTTTGTTTCCAGTTATCGATTTAATATTTACTGGTATATTTGTTGGTACTGAAGCCAATCCGAATTTACTGAAATTGCTGGTATCAATTGAGTGATATGCGTACGGTGTATGGATTTGTTAGAATTTCGAAACGTTACAGTTTTCCTTATGACTTTACAATCAGCGGAAAATTCCAAGTTTAGAAGCGTAGAAGCAGTTATTCCATTCATGCTTCCTGTCATCAAGAAAAATGCCAGTCTATTAAATTTGAATTCTAATAATGCTAACTCACTAACTTCGATATCAAAACTTTTTTTCCGTCTCTCTAAATACGTTAACTAACGGGACGACATTCAGCTTCGTAAATGGTCAATAATCCCACTTGTCCTGTCGCATAATGCATGTCGATGAAAAACAATTATTGCCACAGAAATTTATCGAGTGGGAATTTAATTAAGTTGGTTATAATTCAAAGATTAAATGAAGTGAAGCCTTCTTCTAATCATTCACACGGATGTTTATTTAACGGATTCCACCCATCAGTTTTTATAATAAAATAAAATCGATTCTATTCTTGTGGTGTGAATAAATTGAAGATGCAATACTTCATTTTACTCATTATTGTTTACTTCCAGAGTGGAATTTATTGTAAAGCGAGGATTTAGTTCGAGTTCCTTAAAATTTGAATTGATTTCCAGTTATAATTTAACATTGTAATTAGTCCAATTTTAATTTAATCTTGCTAAAACAAAATATTCAACTAGTTCACCATCGCTAACCATATTAAATTAAGTAATTGGAAAAAGGCAGCTTTCTTCATCGCAGTTATAGGCACAAATAAGTGGAAGTAAAGGTCGCTGGGGATAAAAAAAAAGCAATTAATCTATTCACTTTATCCATTGTTTATTAAACCGGATCCCTTGTTTTACTCAGTTACCTTTCTCATCCTTGTAAATAGCACGAAAGAGAATTCTAAACTGATTCAAAGTGAATAATAGTTGAAGTGACCCTATCAATTTCCATATATTTCAGGCAGATTGATGGCGAAATTTGCGGCTTAACTCATTTATCCGATACTAACTAATAACGTACTTCACTATCATTTTCACTATCATCCGTCAACAGCGAAACCAGAGCTATATTCTAAGCTAACTGCATAAAATTGGAGCCATATTCTAAATAAATCCACATCCCAGTTCTAATTAGGTCAGCAAATATAAATTCAAAAAATTCCCCAGAAAGATAAAAGACACAATGATCGACACGGAAAATACGGAGAACATTCTGGGATTCAAGTCAATTTATGTTAGTTCAATCAATAAGACTTTTTAAAATATTTAACACAATATTGCTTTTATTGTCGAAATAGGATCCAGCAAAACAAGAAACGGACCCATCGAGCAGAACTTAAAGTGATGCGGCCAGGAGTGACGAGTACTATCCTCCAGCCGGCATTTGAGATTTCGGATTTCTCCATTGAATTTAATTTTTGGCTCCGTTTTCATTGCTCCACTTTCAACTTTCTGGAGTTTGAGTTATTTCGGAATTGGTTAACTTTCGAATAGTCCCACCCCCGAGTCCCTTCGAAATGCAATTTCTTTAGTTCCTTGCATTATTTCAATTTTAAAAATTTTGCATTTCTAAACTCACTCCCCAGATTCTTTCCCAAAATTTCACACCGTCCTCCCCCGCTGTGAAAATTCTTCGATATTTGGATTGAAAAAAACTCTTCAAACTTGTTGAATTTATTGAAGTCTGGAGTTCTCGACCTTTCGCAATTTTTCCGCATTATTCCGTTCTTCGAATTTCTGAAACCCTCTGCTTTCGTATTTCGAAGTTTTCTCGAATTTTCAGATTATTTCTTAGATTTTAGGAATACTCGGTTTTTCTTAACTCCTAAAATTCCCAACCCCTCCTTCAGCCTTTGTATTTTTAAATACCTTTCATTTCCTGTCTCCCTTATTTAAAATTCGCTAAATTAAGATCTGTGAAGGGGAGTAAAACCATTTTACGCAGTGATTGATATTCCTATTTCCATTTATAAATCTTCAATCTTTGTTCTTTGTTTCCTTTCCTTTTTCAGATCTGCATTGAAGAAAATGCATGTGTATTATTCAATAAGACTAGCAAAAAAAAAAGCATGCAATTAGTAAAATTACGCAAAAGGCATGCACCCGTGACAAATAAATGAAAAAGAGCGCAGAGGAAGTAAAGTTGTCAAGAAGAATGCATTAAGCAAAAATAAACTAAAAATACAAGTAGAAAATGAAGCTAACAAAAAATACAATGAATGAGCAGAAACATCCAAGAAGCTGTGAAATTAACTAAATGACATATGCCATAAATAGCAAAATAATATGTAGAGGTAAAAAATGACATGCAGTATCGTAATCATGCAATAATTGAAACTAACAAGAAATATACATGATAAATAAAATTAATAAAAAAAGCAGCAAGTGAAACTGAGAGAAGACAAATGAAAGACAGCAGTGACGATGGTAAACACTCATATAATAAGTAAAAATAAATAATTCAGGAATAGGTCACTGAATAGCGTCATGTATGTTAATTATTTCTGCTCTTCATAGAAAGGATAAATTTAAAAATGACAAAAAAAATCCAAGAATTTCAAAACTAAAAAAAAAGATCAAACACTTGAGGAGTTCGAAACTGCAAAAAATTTACAAAACAATCCAGAAAATAAAGAAATTCAAGAAATGTATAAACACCATGATGTATTCTATTAGTTACATGGTTCAGCCAAATAACCCCTAACAATGACTGAAAAACAATTTCGATAATTTTCCATTTTTTGTGTCACAATTACCACATTAATCCCATTTAGAAGTGACTGTATTCGACTGTAATTCACAATATTCATTTGTGGTTAAGCATTCATGGATCTAATTAAATTATAGATTTTTTTCAGATTTTGCTGTAATCGACACCGTATAACGTCGCAACATACAACTTCCAACATTACATATTACAAATATGAAATATTCGGAATATTCAATCATGTAATACAACGTAATCACATTTTTAACAATAATAATCGAAAAAAAAAACACCAAAATTACGAAGCAACGATATACTGCGTTTTCACGGTATACCCTATAACAAGTGCCATTATGGATATCAATAGTACTTTAGGTCCTCTCTCAGTGTTTCAAAAACGAAGCTTAAATCCTATACATTTGATTTTGTTCGAAAAAGTTATAATAAAAGCATAAAAAGACTAGTACGTGTGTGTTTCATACGAGGGTTCCCGGTGGAGAATGATGTCGGGGACGAGGTGACGAAGAGCGCAGCATACCGACTTCTACTAAACGTTCCACACGTGTCATCAGCGAAGCTGTCGAAAACCGTCTTTCCTTCCCAACTTTCTAAAAATGAAATTAAAAAAAGCAAAAAAAGATGGAGAATAAACATAGGAAAACGTTGCAAAAATGTTCAAAGACCTTTACAAATAAAAAAGCAATCTTTGCAATTCTTTCACCTGTTCCGTCAGAGAGATAATTCGATATGTACCATATTTTACCACACCACTATCACTCACTGTTAAATTTTAACTTCCACTCTTCTTGCATTAAGAAAAACAGAGCACTAACAATTTTGGAATACCATCACTCTGTTAAGATATCTACAGCACCAATGGTCCAATATGCATTCGTTTACATTGCCTTACTAGCTGAGGTAGTGACTGATGGAATTTTAAAATCCAAAATAAAAGAACTCGCACATAGGATCTTGAATTCTTCACTACCAACCCGGAGACCCATTAACCATAGAAACTTACCGGACTGAGGGTAGTACTGGTCCTTTCTAGTTGCATTCGTAATGATTTTGCCGATGCAGTATCAGATACAATACTCACTTCACTCAAAGCAGGAGTATTTTTGGGTAAAGCATCTGAATATGGATAAGACGAACTGATCTAAAAGATGGATGCATGGTATACCAAACAAAGTTCCCACGCAGTACATGGGGATATTAACGTACGAGAAAGCCAATATCCAGAATATCCAAGAGTAGAAAGCTTTTCATAAGACTCGAAATCATGTTCGATTGGTAAGGTGGGATGGAAGGAACAGGTAATCATGGCAAACCTCTAAAAGGTGGAAGATATATCATGGAGTTCTCTTCAGTAATAAAGATGACGATATCCTCAAAAAGATTGCAACAAATAAAAATAATAAATTGCCGTATGTTAGCAAAAACAACAGATAACATACTGTCGATGCGTCAAGTGCAGGATGAAGATGCTGTCGCCATACAACTGAATTACATTCTGGGTAAGCCACAGATGCAACTGATGAGAGTATTGAGCTCAGCGCTAAATCTCTGGTGATAATACCACCATCCTGAAAGAATGAAATGATTTGGAAAGATAGATACATTCTGAAGAACGGATAAAAGACTTAATCGATTGTGCATTTTTTTTGAATGAATAGTGTTTAAAATCTATTACGTCCCTTTTCCATCACGAAAAAGCTTTGTTGCCAGATGCATTTAAATAGCATCAAAAAATTACAGCGATACTTGCTGGCTGCACCCATCGAAGATAACATTCGTCCCAAAACTGAACATCAACAGGGGAAGAAGAAGGTCGTATCACATTAGCTGGCGCTGACTCTGCAATTTGAGACACTTTTTACAATGGATTAGGATACAGTGAAGGTAACAACTGCATTTCTCAATGTGTTAAACAAAACCATCCAGAGGTGGTATGTTCCAAATTAGAAGAATTACCGAATGAATCTATATCGGTTTCTTGAAAATGAACATACCGAAACCAAGCAAAAGGTTCGCCGAATAAAGAACATTGGTGAACATTAGGCAGTATTTCGGTGTATAATATTGCGACAGGGGAAAAGTTGGAGCTGTTTTACAAAGCGCTAATCTATCATTCACTGAATTGCAAGTCAAACCGCTATAAAATACAAAAAGAAAGGCATTAAAGAATAGGGAGCTGCTTGCAAATGAATTTAAACATTATAACTGATAATAATAAGCCTATGCATGAGATTTCCAAAACATTATGACATCTCTCAACAAATGGCTGGAGTTCCAAAAGCATGAAATTAGCCTCAATTTCCGTATCCAAGAAATCGACAGAGCAAGTAACAAATTTGTATTATTCATTTGTTTATGCACATCTTCCTATTAATTACTATCAACGTTTTTTAACAACTGCAGATTGCACACATCAATCTAAACCAATATTCTGATTTGCTTGTCGAATACTACATAAGCAGAGAAGGCAGAAAGGCAAGAACTTACGATGCGAGACCAGTTATGGATAGATCCCAGAGCGCGATTAATAAATAATGCGAGTATTCAAACGAGAGTGGATGAAGGCGTATAAGTTGTGCCACGCAGTCCAGGAATAAGAGGAAAGTTGCTGTACAAGCTTTCGGTCGCGAATGCTGCAATATGTTGCTAAAACTATGAATTTTCTGATAAACGAATGGATGAGAAAGTAACATATTGCACTGGAACATGAACATATGTTGTTTAAACTTTAAATTTGTTTAAACATTGTTTATAAAAATGAACTAGAAGGGATTCAAACCGGTATACTGGCCAAAAGAGTACAGCCAAACATGTTGCGTCCGAAGGGATGTCCAAGTGCGATCCATTCCTTCTCTATGAGAGCGCTGAAACCAGTTATTGTTCTATAAAAACGATCCGTACACACTTGAACCAATGATGATACTACTGCCGATGCGTTGAATCCATCTCGATCTGAAAGTACTCTTTCCATGTATCACCCAAAATGTATTCATATTTCTTTCAGTGTCATTCCGAAAAAAAGTTTCAGGAAACCATCGACGGAATTTAATAAAATGATTGGTGATACGACTATGCGTATGGAGTCGTTTACAAATGTTCTACTTCATTTCTTATTCACCAATGTTACATATGGAATGAACTTCATGGCCATTTGCTAAGGAATGATAAGTGGAATATTATGAGTGGGAAGACCAACCTGTCACGACAACGGACCGCTGATTATCTATGAGTCTGTGAATAACCTTACTCGACAGTTGAAGACATTGAAATACTAAAGCACACCATCCTGTATCATCAACCAGCGTATACCACTCCTTTTCTTTTTCAGTAAAACGTTCCACTGAGTCTGAAAGTATGTATATATGACCAAAAAGAATGTCCAGCTTTTTCCGTTTCCATTTTTTGCGACATTCTATATTCATTCTGTTAAAAGCTAAAGACAATCTTTTTTCATAACTCTTCCAGTATTTATATCCATGGAAACTTTTTAAATCCGATTTCCATGATTCAGCTTCATATCTATAAAATAAAATAATGAATACCTAAAGAACAAAGATCGCGGAGTTTCTCGAATGAAGATGATATACGCACAGTGGATATATCACAATCAATTATTTGAGGTGGTCGATGATGAGGATGAGCCTGACAGATGGGCCACAATACTCTGCAATGTCATTTGATTGCCACACTATTAAGATATCAGAAGAACTATTAGTAATCAAACCATCTTCCGTGAAATTTCTAGAGAAAGAGAGTATGAAACATACTTTCTCCATAATTCTTGAGCATTAAGATCTTTATTACAAGCAGACGAACGAAGCAATGCACTACCATTGGAAGCTGACCAGCACCAGACCTGAACAAGGATATTGCGAGCAAAGAAAATCCTAGGGAATGTTGCGGGCAAAAAAAATCTTAAAAAACATTGCGGGCAAAGGAAATCCTAAAAAATATTTATCTTAATTTCATTTTCTTACTTTGGAAGCCAACTTACCGGGAATCTACCATTATACCAGTTTGGTATAAGGTTTTCATACACCGTAACATCAAAGAGATCACTCGGGACAACAACACAAAATGGATAACTGCAACATCAGATGTTAGATTAGATTTCAGAAAGAAAGAAGAAATAGTAAAAAGATTTCATGTAGGGGAAATCAGGAAGATTCAATTAAAAAGCTCCAAGGCCATGGTTTTGGAGAAGGATGGAAACATGTAAACCTGGGTACGACTGCCTTTTGTTGGGATATTTCCGATTTCAAAAAACATATACGCCATCGTGTTTCATTGCCCCCACATCGTAGTAACTCCTTTTGCCAGTCATTCCCACTATTGTATAGTAGTGCGTTGTGTGCTGTAAAACTGGCCGGTTTAAGAATGAATCTTGAACAATAACATAGTTAATCTGTGGCAATTCTGGTAAGATCTATTAAAAAAAACATAAGAGGGTGAATTGACCCTTTTTTTTCGTCCTGTAAAAAACCATGGGGAAGAAAAGGTCAAATTATCAATTTTCACTCTTCTATGCCTCACTATAAAACCAAGCTTTTTATTTTATGATCATTTAACCTGAATCCCCCAGCTCATATGTAGCAGATATAGCTTATCTGAAAAAATAAAAAAAGTCTTATCTGGTAACCAATCAGCATCAGCAATAAATCACTGCCTTGGGGGAAAGTGGGTGAAACTTAAGTGAGTGAAACTTAATTTAAAGAGTAAGTGAGTGAAACTTAACTTAAAGAGTAAGAATATAGAATACATTTTGCAATGAACGGTGGTGAAACAATTTTCATTTACAAATTAAAGCGTACCTGACTGAGGTGCTTTTCGAAATCCTTCGCAAGAAAGTTGTAACAAATTGGAAAGCGAAGAAGGGCGAGAGAAATGATAAACATTATTTGCAAGATTTACGGCAAACTGGCTTCGCTGCAGATCGAAGGTCCACACCCGAAAGTCCTAAAGCGATATCTCTTTCAATTATCAGTAGGGCAAGCTTCGAAAAAGAGCAGTAAGCTCAAAAAAAAGGAGGTCATGATTTCTCTTCAAGGCGGCGACCTGAATTCCTGAATAAGTAAGGGAGCTTACTTTGGTGTATATTTTGATGGACGAAATAATATCAAGCTGTGAGGCTGGAGCTGCCATCAATCGATACTTCTTCAGGGAAGCACTCGAACGACCAACTGCAACTTCGAACTATTCCTCATAATATTTAAAATAAAAATTAGCGTGTCAATGTCTTTGCGTAAGCGAATGTCATCACTAGATTGGAGCAAAACCGAACTTAGTCGACATCAGAAGAGCTGAACTATATAGTTCGTTTAAATCAAAACGATAAATATTATTTGAAGATTTAAGGCAAACTGGTTTCGCTGCGGATCGGATACTTGATATTTTGACAAAATCATATCAAGATATGTCTGCGATTAAATCAACTACGTAGTAAAATATTGTAAAAGCAAGATTAGGATGAAATCAAATGTATAAGACAAACCGATGGGTGATGGGGAATAATATATGGAAGCAATGGAGCACAGTGGTACCTGATGTTCATCGGTAAATATGAGGCTCCGACTACAGCATGGATCCGGTTGCTGAAAACAAGAACAATAGTAATGGGAAGGTTAGAACAGTAAACTTATATGTACAATAATTATTATTGTTACTACACTAATAATTAATAATTAATAATTAATAATAATAATAATAATAATAATAATAATAATAATTAATAATAATAATAATAATAATAATAATAATAATAATTAATAA